CATCAAATATTTATTATACGTAAACTATAATGTATCTGTTATATAATCAGTTAAGAATTTTATTCAGAATATATCGATTAATTTTAATCGAGATGGTAGCATCGAGGTAGTAGTACCTCTATTAATTCTAATCGAGGTAATAGCATTGTCTTTGCACTAGAATAAAGTCTTTCGTAAGGATATATTTCTTATAAATGTTTTTCACAATGACATTTCTTAAAATATGCTCAATTTAACAATATTTGCATGTACACGATTTATGCGCGCGTTCACACGCAAAGTTTATTTTGTTGTATTGAAATAAACGTGCAAAAATTTTTGTAAATCATAATTACCTAGTATAAATTGAGGTAAGAAAATAAATATTTAACATAACATGTTGTGTGAGTAAAAAATAGGTATTAGTATTTTTAAACCCTGAATAACATATTTGCGTGTATATTTATAATTACGCATTTATGTGTATTTGTTTGTTTGTTTGATAAGACCCAAAAAACTATATTTTGAAGAGTTGTGATATTAGAACATCCTACTTGAATAAAAATGTAAAGTTTAAAAATAATTAATCTTTATTAATGGATCCTTGAAACAGCCATTGACTATCCACGTCGACGGCAATCTGTCTTGTGCTTTGTGTACTCATAATCCATATTGTCATAGCAATTATACATAATTTCTTTATATTCTGCGTCCGAACAATAACAAATGTCGATCGAAGAGACCATGGTTACTTCACGACTAACAAGTGACCCATTAAGTCCTTACGACTTGACACTCCCACAGTTTTAAATTCAAACTTGGTACGAATAGATCGACATTGAAGAGTTCGTATTGGTACACATATTTGTTATAAAAAAACAAACTTTAATGGCATAAAAAAACTGAAGCTCTCTCTCAATCATGATTTACTAGGTAATAGAGTGCATTTATAAAGTGATTAATAATTTTTAAAATTGTTAGTTCTTCAACACTCTACTAATTCTGTTCAGTTTGTCGTCGAAGTTACAAGGACGAGCCAATGCCAAAATGTGGAAAAGATGGCGATTGTTCCACGCCACGGATTTCGAATCGTTGATGTATCCCTCATTTACATTTTGCTATATTCTTGGAATATTCCCGTATAAGATCAATGCTTCGATTTTCAATATTTCTAAACCACGTTACATTCTTTCTACCGTAGTTATGTGTGTTTGTCTTATTGGCTTATTGAGAAGTCTCTATTTGATAGACATTTGTGGAATCCCGAAGTCGAAAGGGGTACCCAGGACTCTTGAGCGTAATTGCTTTTACATACTCAGTGGTTTTGTGGCGGTCGTTACGCACATTTTGAGTGGTCCACGAATGCGTTTGCTCCAAACCATAATGGAAATCTCTTGGAAATTGCCTCCGGAGTCATACCAGAAGCTATCCAGACTAATTCACGCCAAGGACATTTTAGGCTCCTTTCTACTACTTATAGAAGTGCCGATGTATTTCATGATGAATTTCCATATTGTATTCAAGATTTTCTTAGCATACGTTAGTCTAATAATGTTTGAGATGGATATGCTGTATATGAATTGTGTTTGTGTACTAAAAGCTTGTTTCAAGCAAATCAGTGATAATCTGGAGCATATACGGGACCACACGATGAATGATGAAGTATATCATCTCAGTCGAATGTACCGCAAGCAAAGAAGTCCATTCTTGCTAATTAAACTAAAGGTCTTGAAAAAACAGCATCAAATGATTAGTAACGCAGTGCAGATGCTGAATACAACTTTCAATTTGCAACTGCTTGCTACTATAACTTTATCTTTCGCTGAAATTACTTTTTTGCTCTACTTTCATATATTGTATTGGCAAAAAGGCATTTCGATGATCAATGTAGATGATCGTATCTATGAAGTGTTCTTGATGACGTCCATACCGTATTATTCTATAAAAATAATGTTGATAGTGTGGGCCTGTGAATCCACCAAGAATCAGGCTTTGCAGATTGGCACCACTATTCATGACGTATTTAACAGCACTGGCGATAATGAAATAAAAAACGAGGTAATAAAATATATAATTTAATCTGTACATTTTCTAAATAAGCTGCTAGTGCAAGTTTTATACATTAAATCTAAATTTATGATCTAAATTTGTATTTTCCAATTATGTTATTAATTAATTTACGATATGATGATTTTGCAGTTGCAATTGTTTTCCTTGCAAGTTCTTCATCGCAAAAATATATTTTCCGCAATGGGTCTCACTGTAGATGCGAAGCTGCTCACTGCGGTAAGCATATCGATTATATGTTTATAAATATTAAAAGAGAATAATTCATTTTCTTAATTTTCGGATTTCGTTTTTAGATGGTGGGTAATATCAGCACGTATTTATTAATATTGATACAATTTTTAAATATGTCACATTTTTGCGCTAAAGAAATCGCTACAAATGTTACAGAAATAATTCAATAAAATAAAAAAGGTACAGTCGATTGTGTAAATATCTATTTTAGTAGTAAAGATATTATCTTTCTTATTAGAATATTTTAGTAGAGTATGAACAGGCAAAGTTAATATTGCATTGCTGCAATATTTCATAAATCTATTTTTATTACTTTATTGACGGTTTATTATATATCATTTTCTAGCTTTAACCCTTAAATGCCACCCGGGGTCCAGCGGACCCCAGACCCTTTAGAATGATATATTTTCAAATGTTCTCTCCAAAAATGGAGCTCATGCTCCCATTGATGATAGTTGAGTGATTGACCTACCCGGTTGTACACTTAGCAGTACTCAGTTTACTTCATTTTTTATACTATGTTGAAATTGAAATTTCAACAATATAAGCATTTTATTCTCTTTTCTAAGCCTTGAACAACATTGAAAATAATTTTCATAACTAAATATAAAAAAATCAATGAGTAAGGAGACATTTTTCATGCTGGGGTCTTTCAGACCCCATGTGTCATTTACGAGATTCTTGAGAGGTGTGGCATTTAAGGGTTAAATTGCTGATTTCTCATCTCAAAATTCAAAATAACTTTAAGACCTGACATAATAGAGCAATTTGAACAGCGGCATTGTTTCTTGTGACCGGAAATTATAAGAAACACATACTCTGATTAGCGTTATACTTGACAAAAAAATTTTTGTCGGTCTGTATAATCTTTTATACCTATGTTTTTTCTAGTTGAATACGTGAATTAGATAGTTTGTCCTATTTATACTCAGCAAATTTAAGTTCAAAACTGGGAACACAATTAAACAAATTAGTGCATCGAGGAGAGACTAAGGAGATATTTTGTTAAGTGTCAAGTAACCACATGGTATTCTTCGATGGACAACTGTACACTCCAGATACAACGTATAGAATAATGATGTTGCGACTCATAAAATCAAGTATGCAAACATGAAACAGATAATATCGACTGCACAATATTCATGTAAACGAGTAATTCTCCAAAATATGCTAGTTTTTTCTTCGAATTTTTGTTTTAAAAATCCATATCTTTACTGCATGTACAGAATACTTGATATTTTTATGACACGATTTAAAGATCTGTCTTTTTTTAATTTTCTACATACATTTTAATTTTTTTCATACAAATATTCTTAAATTAATAGTTTAATCTGCGTTAAACATAGTTACATATCGAATTTCAATAAAAAATAATAGACAAGAAATAAAAATATAAAAAGCATTTAATTCAACTAAAACATTATATGGCATTATATTAACAAAATATCGCAAAGCAACAGAAAGTAGGAGCAGCGCTAATAATCATAGCAGATCGGAAAAAAGTCTTACCGTGAGCCCAACATTTCTTTGTGAAAAGTAAAAGTTTGCATTTTTGTTCTTGAATATGTGTATATTAGTACGAGATGTATCAGCTATAACTTTTCATGTAATCTATATAATGTACATATCTAATGCAAAATTGCGAAATATCTTGATAACGTTCACTCGTTTTGTACGTGTTCCAGATGCTCAAGGTTATGAATGATATGACTAGGAAATTGTATATCATTATTTTAGTACTTCGATGGAAG